TCTTTTCTTTACAATAAGGCTTTCAAATAAGTCATGGTTGTACGGCAGTGAAGCATCGGTGTTGAACAGTGATGTCATGCTGTCGATGATGATGATGATGATGATGCAGTCCACTCACAAAATCGTTTTCTTGAGCGATGAGCTGAGCAGTTCCAAAAACAGTTCAGCTGGTCTCCTTCAGCACTGCAACAGGAGGAATCCGGCGGTCCTGAACGGAACACCGATAGCAGCCCGCCGTCAACAACAGGAATCCAGCAGGAGATACAAATCATCAAGCGCGACAAAGCACTTGACGCGGGTGGCCTACATCCCTCACTTTTCAACGAAGGCTGTAGAGTCCTGGTGAGCTGTCTGATAACCATACTGCAGAAGCTTTGGAACGCAAACAATACCAGTGGAATGGAGCTCTTGACCGTCATCCCAGTCTTCAAAAAGACCGCAATAACGTCATCCAAAGGCCTTGGTTGAGGACCCTAATCGTTCTCCTGTCTAGGTGTGGGCTCCCTGGCAGTATCCCAGCCCACGTACAACCATGAACCGCCTCTCAACCTTCCCTGTCTACCCAATCACTGCCTTTCGACTTCCCCTGTCTAGGCTTTGGCAATCTTTCAATATCCCAGCCCACTTGCTTCTGGTGGTTTTTCAGTTAGACACTGAAAGGGTGCTACAGCTGTACGGTTTTACAAATAGACACATGCCACATCAGCCGTCGCGTGGTGCCACCAGCCTCACTTGCTGCATACGGCAGGGCAGGTTATCGAAAACATGTTACTGCTGCATCAGGAGCTGCGTTTGTTGGGACATGCGTTGCATATGCCTAGCTAGCGTTTGCCGAAGAGAGTGCTATTTTTCATGACCAATTCAGAGTGGTGGAAGCAGAGAGGTAGCTAACCTGGCAGAGGGGTACGAAAGAAATCACGAAACGTTTGGGTGCTGTCGGTGCTACTCACCCTCCAGGATGGGGACCGCATGATTCGCACTGCAACTGGTTGGAGACGCTGTAAGATGTGGCTGCCAACCGATGTCAGTGGCGGTCTTGTTAGTTCCTTTCCGGATTGCCTGGATGAGTGTTTAGAGGTGTAGGCATCTCGGAATGATTGTAGTAAGTTAACACTAAGACTCTTCCCCGTCCACCTTTATACTTTTCTTCACAATGAGGCTTTCAAATAAATCATAGTTGTACGGCAGCGAAGCACCAGTGTTGAACACTGATGTCATGCTGCCGATGATGNTTTTCTTTCGCATAGTTTCTCCCCCCCCCCCCATCTCCTCACCTCACTAATAAATCTAGCATTTAAGACTGATGACTCCGTTCATCCTGCAACGGTTTTGCACGCGACATCTGCGCCTCTTCCGGCGCCGATATCCTCAGCCACCTCGAAATCAATTTTCAAGCCCCGACGCCTTGTTTTTCTGGCCGCCTTCAATGTCCACACTCTGAGGCAAGCAGGTTAACAAGCTACTTTTCCTCTCACACTGGACTAGCTAGCACTGATGTGTACTGTGTATCAGAAACAAGAATTCAAGCTGCAAAAACACAGTGGTTGAGCTAACGGCCCTACCACTCTCCACTCGGTTCCGACTGCGCACCTCTGGCAACCCATAGGCTGCTGCAACTGAATGTATAGGGTTTGGTATCGTCCTATGTCATCAGGCAGAAGGATCCTTTCCTGGCTGCAATTTGATATTCGTCTGTGTGCCGTTCGCCTGGTAAAGTCCTTGAAGGAGTCTCACAAGGGGAAAGTTGATCGATTTCTTTTTGTCGTGCGTTCTTACGCCCCAACTGACCGTAGCTCTGACACCATCAAAGACAAGTTTTACGACGGCCTGAATGCCCTGTTGCGGCGAGCTAAAAGCTCAGGCATCGTGGTGGTTGTCAGATGTCTGAATGCACAAGTGGGCAGGCTTAGCTCATCTGAGACACAGTTGAGTGGTCGACGTGGGCTGGACTCGGTACGTACGGACAATGGTGAACGAACGCTTCAGCTGTGTGCTGACACCAGACTGCAGTACTACCTTCCGAAATAGCCGAAGTCATCTGGCCACATGTCTTCCAACGGCATGCCGGCTACGAACTCACCTCGATCACATTACCATCAGTTACCGAATGCGCGGATCAGTAACTGACTGCCGGTAGCTTTTGAACACATTTGTGGATTCCGATCACGCAGTTGTCCGGAGTCGCTCCTCCCTTCGTTTTCTAGGCTACGTAGGGTGCGGAAATATCGCCTGGCAATTGAAAGACGGAGATCCGGATGTTAGACGAATTTTCTAGAATCGTGTTCTAGAGTCTTTCCAAATGCTCCACCATCAGATGTGAATTCATACTTGAAGAAGATCGCCACCTCTTTTCATTGGGATATTCGCTCGTGGCACGGTGCTACCAGGCTCACTCAAGCACTGGATATCTGACCAAACAGTGGCATTACTTAAATCTCGGAGACATACCCCAGCCGATCCCGAAAATAACTTGACGCGACGAATTATCAGACGTCAAGTGAAATTGAGCGTGCGAGCCGACCGTGAAGTTTGGTGGACACAGGAAGCCAAGGAAATGGAAGAGGCTCAGAGAGCCGGTAATGCGTTGATCCAGGCAACCGGTCTTCAGAAACCTGTGAGCGAAACTATTGAAGATCAGAAGAGAGTGACCATATTGAATAAAGGATAGCGTCTCGACCGGTGGGCCGAATACTTCGAACAACACATATAGTGGCCACCAGCCCACACACATGTAGCCCGCATTCGACGTAGAACCCTGGATGGTGAACGTGGAACCACCTACGGCCTCGGAGACTTATGGCCGCGTGTGTTTTCTCAAGCGCCACCGAGCTTCTGGTGTGCATGATCACCCACCCGCATTGTTCAAAGACGGTGGTGAAATCTTCGGTCAGCGCTTGCCTGATTTGCTTGCGTGCATTTGTGAAAAAGTGACTGTCCCAGACATTTGAGGGTAGTCGGTCATTATGCCCATTTTCAAAAAGAAGCTCCTAATGAGTGTGGTAAGTACATGGAGACCAGCTTAACCCCGGTTGTAGTGAGACTGCTAACGTCACCTGTGATTCGTCGCTTTATGGTAGCTCATGAAACTTTGACTTGAGAGCAACAAGCGGGGTTCCGGTCTAGTGTGGATTGCGTTGACCAAACCTTACCAATCCGTCAGGTGCGATCCATACTGCTTCATCGATCACAGACATGGACTGCGCGCGCACAAGACATACAAAAGACGTCAGCGGTTGACTATCGGTGTCCCCGAAGCATTAATCAGGTCTGGTGGGACATCGGATTGGTAGTGTTGCGATGAAACAGATGGTCCTAGGAAGAGCGAACTCTCACTCCATACTTCACGGTGCTTAGGACGTGCCAGAAGAACGTCTGCCTCGGTTGTTTCTGATGGACGGCGTACATCAACGTAGAGGGAATTCAGCGTACGAGCAAGAACTGGTTGTCGTCCTGCTTGCTTCACTGTGTGAACGGACACAGCTAAGCAGGTGCCCTCTTGTATAGGCCACAAGAATTAAGACTGGGCAGAGTGCCACTTTGGAGATCGAAATTTCGTTCGTGTTCTCCATCATGCGGTGTTCAGCCAAATAGAAGCATGTCAGTCCGACATGGAACTCTTTCTAATTAGCTGGATAAGATTGTTGAACTCAGATATGTCGATGCCTTGAATTGTTGGTAGTCGCGTAGGCACTTGTCCGTACATGTGAGGACAAGCCTGGTCTTTGTCGTATCGTTTTGTGGTCCTACAAGTGCTGCGTAGTCAGCCATACTGTAGCGAGCGTTGGATTTCATTTAAATTGCCAGCCAACAATAGGATGTCACAGAAAATTCCCGAGTTGGCTACCTCACTGTGGGGATTCAACTAGACAATAGATTATTTCAGTGTTCAAGTGACAATTCAACGGCGGAGTTAAACTGCGCCAACTATATTGGGAGCCCTTGGCATGATGTCGCCTCGCGTCCGAAAGCGGACTTTCGCTGGCAACTATAACAAAACCCTATAGACAGTTTCCACCTAGTTCATTCTACTCGCCATCGCAAATACATGGGAATGTAACATGAGTAATTTGTCTGTGTGAAATTCTTGTGATAGACTTGTCACTTGTGCGGAATTACAAAAATAAAAGATTAAAAAAATCGTTCAGCGGTAACACCCTTCAGGTGCCTGGCTGCCATGCTACCCGAAGGAAGCACGAGGGCTGGGATACTGCCAGTTTGTCCAAGCCTAGACAGGGGAAGTCGAGAGGCAGAGGTTTGGTTCGACCCAAGGACCTTCTGGTCGGTAAATTCGCGCTCTAACATCTCGACCCATCTCGCCCCCTACAGTATTACAACCGGAACATGGTAGACATTCTTCATGATCTACTCGATGTAACTGTGTAAACCCATCTCGTTTCTTTTAAGCGTTTAAGTGGAATCGTCACATATTTTTTTTGGAAATAAAGGACTTTGTTCCACCCTTCTATCTCCAACACACTGGAAAGTCTTAGTGAATGCTCATAATGTTGTTGCCCAACGATTCTTCACGGGAGATTCGGGGAAATTTGGTAAGCCCAGTGCGAACAACCAATCAGAGCAGAGCAATGACACTTGAAACTCGCGAGCATGCTGACTTTTAGGGCAGAATGTATTTTCCTCGTTGGTTAGTTGTGGAGTGATACAATAAACAGGTGGCCTTCTTCGGATGCAGGAAAGTTGACATTGTTCGTCACTGAAGATTACCGAACAATAAATAACAATAACAATCATTCAGCTGGATCACCCTTTCGGGCCTAGCTGCNCACCCTTTCGGTGCCTAGCTGCCATGCCACCCGAAGGAAGCACGAGGGCTGGGATACTGCCAGTGTGCCCAAGCCTAGACAGGGGAAGTCGAGCGGCAGAGGTCGGGTTCGAACCATGGACCTTGCGGTCAGTAAATTCACGCTCTAACCGCCTCGGCCATCTCGCGCCCTAGATTACCGAACTGTCAGGTCTGTTTCACGGTGGCGTAATGGATATGTGTTTCTTGATTTAACTGTTGTTCATGTGTTGTTTGTTTCAGATGCTATCTGTTGTCAACTCAACGAAAGACACATGGCAAGAGCTGGGATTCGGTGACCTCCAGGTAATACGATTCTGTTCGTATCACACACAATTCAGAAATCGTTAGAATCTACCGTCTTGGAGCTAGCTTCCAATCGCGAGAAAGGAGATGTTGCAAGAGCCAACTTGGTTCAACTTACACGGGAATTCCGCAAAAGTGCTTCCGAAGTAATTTCACAAAACCCCACTTTGTGACGCATCTAGGAAAGCAAGAAAGCGGTTCTTGCATTGCTCAAAAGCTTCCAAGCGGAAGTTGATGCCTCACGGAAACGCTGTGCTTACGCAGAAGACGCCTACATTTCTGTGTACAAAAGGCTCATTGACCTTCCAGGTATGCACTTTCTGAAGTTCATTCACATCGGAAAAGATCCCACATTGGCTCTTACAGAGGTTCAAAACCTTCAGAAAAAGGCCAGTAGATCAACTGACACAGAGTGCGAGAATCGAAAATTACGAGAGATAAACGAACAGCTACGTACCGAAGTGTCTGCACTAAGACACCATGGTTTGTTCCCCATCCTCTTCAGCTAACCTTCCACGCTTTTAGAAACCGAGGCAGCTCGCCTGCAAAAGCTCTTGGATGATTTGAACAGCAACATGGAATCCGAGCTAAAATCAAGGAAAGCATCTCTGGAAGAAAGTTTCAAGAAAACGGTTTTGGAGAGAGAACAAGAACTGATGGTTTTGCGAGCCGAAATGGAGGAGAAACATAAAATAATGGAAGAGAAAACTGTGGGACTGACTAAAGGTGGGCCTCCTTAATCAGTAGTGCCTGGTTCTCCTTTGGTCATCACCCTTAGGTATAGTTTTTGATAGCATATTTCACACTTGTGATGGCGCAAACTTCAATTTCCTAGTTTTCGGCCCTTTTTGTGGCGGTGATTTACTGCCTTTCACATGAGTTTGGCGATACAGTATTGTAATTGTAGTTGTAAAGTATTGAATAAAAAGCAGAAATGGAGTGCTGGTCCAACTATCCTCTTTGGCATTATTATTATTTGCTCATTTCGATTCAGACTGCAGGATCCGACCTTCTTCCGTAAAATAGTTTCTGCTAAGTCCATTACACGGAATTTGTCTAGCTCCGGCTAGGATAAGCTGGCTGTGCGGAGTGTCTTGCGATCTTAACAGAAGTGGCATAGATGCGTTATGCGCAATATTTCACGGCCTGCTCAATGTTAAGGACAGTTGTACCAGCTCGCACAGGAACCATCAGTCAGTCTGGAAAGGCGATTCCAAAAAATGGGCCATTGATATTCAAGCGCTTGGTGAGAGTGACTCATGTAAATAAGGTCGTGAGACGAGTGTATGAAGCATTCTGTTCGCTGTTAAACTAAGTGGAGTCGAGGTCGTCGACCCTCTGTCGTGGTTACTATTAGAGCACCATTCTCGTGGATATCATATATTGCCAACTATAGCAATAACGTATCATGATAGAAACGGCATTTTCGAGCTCTCCTGGGATCGTTGTAATGGGACCTCGGAAGTCATGCAGTGCATTATTTCGAGCCAAGTTTCTATCACATGTCGTCCGAGGTGAACCCCGGACCGAGGCTGTGCCAGTGGCATGCTTCCTGACACCGGAATTCCATACCATTTTCCGTTGCTTAGTTAGCCACTTCTCAAGACCTGATAATTAACTCCTTATTAACTCCATTTCCTCCCAGTCCGCCTTTCTGTGTTAGTGTCCTTCCGTGAGATAAAACGGAGAGGTAATAAATGCTTTTGTGTTATTGTTTGTACCTCCAGCCCTTGAAATGACGCAGTCGGAACTGTTCACACTGAAGGTACAGGCGGATACATCAGAGAGTGGGAAGTGAGTATTGCTCATGGTTCTACCTAATCGTTCACAGGACCTCAGAACTCGAAATTCTCACGGATGAACTTGACAAGGCCCGCGAAGTGAGTTTTGGCGAGTTTAATTTTACGTTCGGCGAAAGATAAGTCCGAAGTTTAGTAATGCATCCAGCCATCATATTGTTACCTGATGAATTCGGACCAATCTATTTCGGCGTTCCACGTCAAAGTGAACCTTTTGAAAATACACTAGTATTCGGTATGATTTCAAACGCGATACTCCTTATTGGACCTTGATGATATCAACTTAGTGGTGTATACACAACACTAGGGATGTCGTTACTCGTTTGATGAAGTTATGAACCACCTCACTTAAGCAAACTCCCTAATGAACAGGCAGCGTAGATAGTGACAAAATGTATATATGAGAATTGACAGTAAGGGTTCCAGGCTGGGTATGTTATGTCAGTAAGTTGGTAGTTGGACGCAATCCCTTTGACTAGGCCTGAGCGATCAGCACAAGTTGTTTTGCACTGTTACTCGGCCTGAGCGATCAGCACAAGTTGTTTTGCTCTGTTACACAAAGCAGATCCACTCATTTTTTGAAGGTATGCAATCGGGAGATGTGGACCAATTCAAATTCCCAGCAAGGACAATCCCTACTAAGCTTCTGACTTTCCACTATAGGTATACTAATGTTTACAGTATAAGGTCTATCGACTACTTGCATACTCCTGTAATATTGATACGTTGTTTCGCAGCCGGGATTAATAGTCACCGGAATAATTATCCCCCGTTGTTTCAGCGAATTCGTGAATTGGAAGGCAGTCTGCCACCTTCGTTCACAGGCCGTTCTGACAATGAAAATATCACCAGCCAAGTTTTGACCCTGACATCACGCGTTGAGGATCTCGAATCGGATTTGAGTCAGAAAGAAACTGAAGTCAGTTTTGTGTTGTTTTTGTCCTTGACGATCTTTCTGGTGCATGTTCACCTACCACGTTTTTCTCATTGTGGGGACGAAAATTTACCATTAGAATACCGGTCGATTTTTTATCTAGTTTATTTTTTGTTGCCTCTATACTTTGTTGGCACTGTTAACTTTGTATCAGTGGGTCGACCTGGTGTTTTTCATACGGTGAGGTCAGTGTTATAAACATGGTCTCACACTGTCCGAGTAACCCATTTCAATGTCAACTTATTTTTGGGTACCGAAATTCATGTGGATTAGTCCACAATGCATTCTCCCCAGAATTGATGTCGGCCTCACCTGGGTTGACCATATTGCTTGATTAAGGTGACCAACAATATTGAATGCAAATTTTACTCATTTTTTATCTGGTGCGATGGTCCCCCCCTTGTCAGTTCACTAGTCTTGTTAATTATTCTTCTAACCTAATTATAGATAGTAAGTTTGGTTCAGGTAATCGTCGGCTGTGTGTGCCGGACCTAGTTGTTTATGTCGGATGAACAGGCGTGCTCTGCAAGCGTATGAACGGTTTCACTGGTCGACTTTAAGACAATATACTGTTTACGTTTTCTGGCCGATGTAATACATTTGCGTGCCAAATAGATGGAACCCATCCACAAACAATACTTGAGAGTGAACCGGGCCCAAACGAACTTCTCCCGTAATTGGGGAACCTCCCTTTACAGAGCAAAGTTAGCTTGGGTGATCACTCTCTTCAAGTAGCTCCGTCATTGTGTTATTTCAGATCTTTGATGGAGCAAGTGTTTAGAGCGCGGATTTACCGACCAGAGGGTCTGTGGTTCGAACACGACCTCTGCCTCTCGACTCTCGCTGTCTAAGCTTGGGCAACCTGGCGGTATCTCAGCCCTCGTGCTTCCTTCGGGTAGCATGGCAGCTAGGCACCTGAAGGGTGTTACAGCTGAACGATGACCTGATGATGACCTGAGATATCTTTGATTCTGATTTGTAACTGGTCACTTAGTTGCTCCTGATTAGACCTGAACAACGTAGCAGCGTTGCAGAGCTCTTGTTTCCTTGATGCTGCATGGGAACTGTGAGCTGATAGGGCGCAACAGATGAACGATTTAACTTTGAGTTTCATATCGGAAACTGGTGTGGCACTGCCCACAGAGCCACAGTACTTCACCCTTTTTGCAAGATAGCACACAAGTTGTGTACCTCATGTCCTGTTTTGCAACCCTATTTTTCCAACCTTGCCAGATCTCACTATATGCTTCAAAGTTGTCCGTACTGCGACAAGAAAAGGAGGAAGTTCAGTCGACACTCCAAGGTAAGGTTGAGGAACTACAAACATGGATCACCAACTTGGAAACACAGTTATCGGAAGCTCGGTTGCGATTGCAATCCCAGTCGGATTATGAAGAAGTGTGCCGCGAGCTTGCCTTTCTTCGCTCAATCGAATTTTCTAATGAGAACTTAGTTTCGGAAAGGGGTGAGCCAGAGGGAACCGCTCATTTTGATTCGAACGACCCTGCAGCGTCAGCTCCTGTTTTGAAACCTCCTTTGGAAGTGCTGTTGATGAACAAGAATCGTGCCTTACAAAACCAGATAGCTGAACTTAGTGCTACAACTGATCAACTGAGAGGTAATACCCATGTATCATGTCTCCCCCAGTTTTTTTTATGAATGATGAACCTACTTTGAATTATCAATTTTTGAGCATGATTTTCTGGCACAGGCTGTCGTCTTCCGTAGATTAATCTTTGCTGGATCTAATTACTCTAATGTTGCATGTCCTACACGCACCAAATTTACGACTCCGGTATCTAGTCTTTATTGCAATCTACGTTTTTCCGGAACCTGATTTGTGTAGACGGTTTCTTAGCATTTAATTCCGTTTAGCCCACAGACTGATTCACTCTAAATTGAAGTAGTTTGGACAGTGTAGGGTGTACATTAGAGGTTTACCGGCCTGGCTCCCTAGGTACTAGTCTATTTCCTCCTAAAATACATTCAGCAACTGCTTCTGATGCAGTCATTTCGCTTTTCACCCGAAACCACTGCGTTGCAGAGGTTGATTCTCTTTTCTACCCCCATTGTCGCGTCTCCTTCGTTTTATATTTCGTTTCTACAGCAGTTCATTGTCTCATCAACATATTCCGATCACTGACTTCCAAGCTGTTGGGACGTAGCGCTCCTTATCTGAGTCTACCTGATTCTCACCTTTTTCTGCATCATTAAATTAAACAGCTTTTGTCTCTCTTTCAGCCGTCCTTATGAGACGGGAGAAACACACTCCTGTCATTTTGATAGTCTTTGATATTTCTATTACCGTCTTTTATCACCGGCTTTTATCACTTTAAAAACGTCCTCGCGCCCGACTCAGTTCATCCTGACGTTTCTTTCATGTTTTGCGATGCTTTATCATCCTTATAAAGTTCTGTCGTTTTCGTAAAGATGTATTTCTTCGAAATTGCTTGTTAGGTGAGATCAATCTAATCAATAATGTGTTCTCAAAGACGCGCTGTCTGTTCATTTTACTGTAGTTCTGGTTGTGAACTCCAATGCTTTTTCAAAGTTGTGGAGATGCAATGGTTTTATAAACAAGGTTTCCACTATTCCTTTTTGTTGGCTGTGGTTTTTGCGGAATATGTGGATTTCGAATTCGCTCTCGTTTGAACGGCCCTCCCCTTTTTCCGTTGCAATTTTGTTCACCAAATGAGCGAAACACGAGTCCAGTGCTTCCCCTCTTTGGTGTCGACCCACCAGAATAATTTCAGCATGGCTGGAGGAAGGCTGTTCAAACGAGGACGACGTGAATCTGAATTTCCTTTTCCCCGCTGTTTATTGAGACATTCTCCTTTGGTTATATGACAGTTAAACACCAGTTCATAATGGCGGCATATTGCTTTAGTTGATGATGTCGACGAGGTTGATTAGCTCCAATTCGTTGTGGCAATTTTAGCTAAAAATGTCCTTTTAACTCATCGCCTCTTCGCGCCTCCGAGCAAAGGTAACCTTCGCTTGCAGACGGTGGTTATCTTGAGGATAATGTTGCACTTCCAGGGATATAGTTCTGTGCGATCGAATTCTCGTTTGATAGCGCAGTTTTTTTACTGTCTCTCACTGTTTCTCAGCCGAGCTACACCGTCTTCAGATGTTTGAAGTTGAGTCCCGACAGCAGGCACAGGAACAACGGGAGCTCATTGCGGTTTTGGAGTCTGATTTATATCGGCTCCAGGAAGCCTATGACGAGGCTCAACGGCTCAACATGTTCGGGCAAACCGGTACTCCCAGTCAAGACCAATTGCACACCACGAGCCACGCGGCCTGCAGAGAAGGTCAAATATTAGCTGAAGCAATTGGTGAAGAACAACCCAACCAAAGTTAGTTGGGTGATTTTACATCTCCGCCTTTTTACTTTTTTTCATCAAAAGTCTCTTAAGTGATTTGCGAATAAGTTTTTTTGTCCACCATCCTTCGCTAGCCTGTAGTTTACTCGTCATGTTATCTGGTACGGTACTACCACCTCGACAAAACCTCGCAAGGGTAAACATCTCTTCTCACTGCCATCACCCCAGGAAGGAATGGATCTCTGAAATCGAACAGAGGACATTTTGATTCCCTAGGCGTAGATGCACTCTCCAACGAGGTACACCACAATGGGAAGTCTCGTATTACTAGCCCATTACTCCAGAGCTTGCCTTGGACACAGCTGATTCACCGACCTGTCACATCAGTGAACTAGTGGCTTAAATTAGCCGACAATTTAGGCTTGAATGGGTACACAGCTGCTGGGATCCACTATGTGTGAATCGCGAACATGCGGCATATTTATTGTCTACAGCATTTGCTTTAGACGAACGAGAAAGTTCCATCCCACCCTCACTGAAGTTGTCGAGCTCTAATTGGAAACAAAGTTTCATTGTTGTACAATGCTTTTCATCCCGGTCAATTTCGTTTTGCGTCCCAAGACTGTTATGCCTTTGTTAGGTATGAGGTTTTCACACTGGTTTAATCAAACAATGAGATTTAGGCGGCATCTGTTTTGCCTTCTATCGTAAAAACTAAACGAACCAGCTTATGAAGTAATGAATCGGCACGTTTCGTGGTGTTTTCGTACATCAATAGGTACATTCACATAGAACCGAGGCTTGCTGTTTCCTAGATTCGGGCCACCGTGAACTTCTTCGTTTAGGTGAGAAACTTTGTGCTTATTAGAAATTTGAAATCGCTTGAAGTTAAAATTGCAGAGCCGACCACTTTATTTCTACTTCGAATGACCACTACTGTCCTTATTCACCCCTTTATTTGTTCTACAGCCACAGTGCCACGTGTTGACCCCTCATTACTCCAAATTGTGGTACACCAGCGTGATCGTTTCCGAGCACGGACTGAGGAATTGGAACAGGTGTGTCTTTCTATCTGCTCTTTTCCTTTTATGCTTGATTCTTTGCGGCGTGATTTCCAAGAACATTCACCAGTTCTTTTTGTGCCGCTTTCGCGAGCTTCACCGCTTTACTGATTCGAAAGATTCCCGCGTCTTGCACACAGCGGGAAAACAACGACAATTCGACTGTAATCCAAGTTTGTGGAAAAAAGAAACTTCCACACTACCTATTGCTCCGATTAGGACAAGTTTAACTTTTTGGTTACCTGTAGTGCATATTTGTGCTCTTGATTGGATAGCTTACCACGTGAACAAATCAAAGGTAAGTGTTATCACATGACTCATGTGTAATACGGGAACGTGTGAGCAAGTGTAGGTTGGACGCTGATTCATTTAATGTTCAGTGCAAATCGTTTGCTAAACGACCAGGTGTGTGACTGATTATTCAACAATATACTCTACCGAGTGTACCGGTGACTATATCATGTGAAACGGGATCTTGTGCCCTTGAAACGCAGGGTGTAGGTCGTCCCACTGAGTCAAGACGAAACATCTGTACGAATCAGTTGCTGATCAATAAGGTTCCATAAAAGCCTAGAATAATGTGGAAGCTGTGAAAGGTGCGCGGAAGGTTATCCAATTGCTAGAAAATGTCGGACTAATGGGTTGGTCGCTGCTACATGATATCTGGGGGCATGTACTAGCGGTAATGTCTCAGGTCAGTTTTCGGTCTGGTTCACCCAGGCTGGCGTTTTCAGCAGAACTACGAGGGATTACACAGTGCATTAAATGCACTGCTTGGTCCAAAACCCTTGTCTTAACATAACACGATACTCATAAGGTTGTTACAAACTCTTAGACCAACCTTATGTGTGTTACTTCTAGACAATGTATTGCGATATCTCCAATTCGTACCAATTGAAACATAAGGCAGCCTAGTGCAACACCTTCAGTTGAAGCAGACCATCATAACCGAGAGATTCGGCTGGATTCGGTTGGGTCTCCTGCAAATAAGTGTAAGGGTTCAGAACCCAACTACAGCGTATCGTGTTTAAGGTCCATGCAACTACAGCATTCTGGAAATTCGGACATCTGGATGCGACGTTGTTAACGGGCATTCAGCGAATAGTGAAGCAAAATCGGTTGTTGTGTCCTCATTTTTTACCATCAGAGGACGATTTGGTGGTAGACGGGAGAGTATTCCGCTCTTCTGATGAATCGAGTGCGAGTTATAGTTGTTAGCATTTGTAGCGAGCGTTACGGTAGTTCTGGTGTAGGATTCCGCCTATCAGGGCCCCCGACGAGAAAATGTCCATTCAGCTAAAGAGAATAGGACTGTACGTCGCGCTTGTCATTAACGATTGGAGAACTATATAGCTGCGATTTCTTTATACTAATCTTGGATTCAGTCCGGTAGCCATACTGTCCAATGTGCTCTTCAGCACACAAGTCTCTGATCGAAAGACCAGGGTGAGTAGTGGTGAAGCGCGACAACAACAAAGTTTTGTGCACCTACTTATTATTGTTCAGTAGTCGCATCCTCTCACAAACAATCACGGCGCTGAATAATAGATTATGGACTTTCCTGTATACCGGTTTTCTTACAGAGCGAGTCAAACCATAAGCAGCAGATAATCCTCCTGCAACGCGAAGTCGAATCAGTTCGAGCGGATAACGTCAAATTGTACGGTAAAATCCGCTTCCTCCAGTCGTATTCCAGTCCGCGACATAATCCACCTGTTCCGGAATCCACCAAATCGACATCAGTCGCCATTCCATTGAATCAGGACTCCGTTGTTGAGAAATATTCCCAGGCATACGAGGCCGATTTGGATCCGTTCAGCCAATTCCATCGTCAAGAACGTCAGCGGCACTATCGAGATTTGCGACCGCATGATAAATTGATGTTGAAAATAGTAAGCTAGTTTTGTTGATATTGTAGACTGTATGAGCTATTTTCCTCGTGTTTTTCATCCTTCATTAGCATTTGCACCTTTTTCTTATAGTTTCGGCTGGTTGTTGGCAATCGAACTGCTAGACTTGGTGCTTTTGTCTACGCCTTGATCCTGCATCTACTGGTCTTTCTGGCGCTGTACAAGGCCGCACATTTTCAAACAACTGCGAACGAAGCAGAAGCTAATTGTCTTCAACGGTAAGTTAGTTGGTGCGTTCTAGTATATTTTGACGGTTTACTGAGCACCGTGGAAATAAAACAGTTATACCATCCTTTTTCGTGGGTACCTATCCGCCTGCAAGCAAGCCTCATAAAGCCAATCACAGCAATACAACTTCAATGGAGCACAACGAATCAAAGAACCATGATGAATTGTAACGGTAGTGATCCACTGCATTATTGTTCGAACACTAGGACACCTAGCGCTGATGATCTCAAGTTCAGCGCGCCAGCTGTGTAAACGATGTAGTATTAAGGGCGCAATGACTGCCTGTTGCTTTTTTGAGAGTAGATGAATGAAAATCAGAGATAAAAAAGCATATACTGAACGTGGACTTGCTAACCACGCTGTTTAAGCAGTTGAAAGTATATTCCCTCCATAATCTTTGTTTAACTTAGTTGCTTATGCCTTTTAAGATTATCTCTGGCATTGTTGTGCAGTATTATGGGCACTGGAGAATTATGTGGATGATTTTAATGATTGGAACCGCATACTAGAGGCCGGAAGTTCGGAATCGACTCTTCAGATTCCTACAGAGGAGTGTGGAAATTAATGTATCGACCCGTTAATTAGCCGTAATAATGCGTTCGGTCTGCTTTTCCCCTCCCTCAGTGGACTAGTGTTCAAATTGTTCCAGGAAGCTTCCAGCCAGGGATGAGCAACTTCTGAATACTAGGCAATCCGTTTTTCCTTACTTGTCACTAACTCTCATGGAGTTGACTGTGTTTATTAACAAGGTACCTGTTTCGAGATCAACACACAGGTACCTGATTCTAAGGCCTTTTCGTGTGGCTTAGCTTTTCTAGGAACCTTGCCAAATGGCTGCCCATCCCAATTTTAAGCCTACAGTTACATGTCAGCTGGTGTACATATTGAGATTTACCCTCATCAGGATTTTCTCGCCTGTAGGAAGCAGTAACCGTTGGGTCAAGTTACCTCTACAGCCCTCAGCGCTGACGCTAAACTTTGAGTTGTGCTGATGGGTGTGGTTGAGTTTGGTCAGTGCGGATCCTGTGGGCACATTGTCATGGTTAACGGTCCTTGGTTTCATTAATTATCCAGTTACCTTCGAAGGGGTCCCAACTCGTCTTCAGTACATGTGAATGTGCACAAGCATAGGGTCGCAGCGAAGTAGTGCTTGAACCACAATCTATTAAAACTGAAGAAATTCGCATGGTGGCCCCTTTAACAGATTTGTCGAATCCGTGTTTGATGACCGTGCTCAAATTTGGGATGATATCACTAATGTCTTATTAGGATTACATGGGATCTAGACGAGTGTTTTTGGGCGTTATTCGATGAGTTTGGCGAGCTAGTAACTCACTCAGACGTTCGCACTCCATTCATCAATGAAGTCGTTCTAGTTGTAGAATGTTTCCGTTCAATTTTAAGTCACCCATTTCACATTTTAGGTACGCGGAGCACATGCGATTGGTCCACAAAGAAGGGGCGCCAAACGGATACCTATAACGTAGTCGCTGCATCCGTTGAACCATCTGTGATTTCCAACTCATTTGAATTCGATCATGGTTTAACCTCTCCCCAATTTTCGTCCCTTCTGACCGACAGTCAACTTCTTGCTGTGTGATAAGTGCTTTCAACTGTTTGAGAGATTGTTTTTTCACAGCGCCGTCTTTTTCAATGGTCTGGTCCCAAAGGACTGAAGCTGGAGCCTGTTGACATTCGCGCCAAATTTAGTCACTTGCGTTACTAGGTCGGTTCGTTTCCTGCATTCTGTTCATTATCTTTTCACTCTTACGTAAAAAGCAACATCTGTTAGCTTGATGAACGTCAGCATGGGAGTCGCTATCCATGTATAGATCTGAAAAGTGGTCAGCTGTGGTCGTCCTATAACGTCATTTGTTGTGACATTATCAAAATAGGGTTAGCCGTTGCTTTTAAGCTGATATAGTGTGGTAGTGGCAATTTTGTGGAATATAGGTAGCTCGGGTGTGCTGATTGGTTGTCGGTCTGTTCGCGGAGCTTGGCAGTTGGATTGCAAACGTTTCATCACCAATCGAGGTGACATCGTCAGTGCGGGGTTGAGTGGCGCTTCTCTAGCTTTCACTTTTCACTTACTTGTTATGAGGATTTTCGATAAGGATTGTGACCTGCAAGACGGATAAATGAGTTTTCCCACTCGGCCTTTCCCCTCATTGTTTTAGCATCTATGCATCTAACCTTAAGCAAGTGAAAACCACGCGCTACAGTGCGCGCGATACGCAGAATCGGATATTTTCGTTATCCGACAACCTACAGGAAAAACCAGGTTTTGACTTCACTTGACACCAAGGTGGAGTTCGTGGTGACGTATGAAAAAAAGACTTATCGGTTAGGTTTATCTCAACTTAGCTCTATATCAACGATTCACCAGAATCTGATTCAGTCACGGGGCTATTGGCTGTGAACATCGCGCTGTTAACGAGGCAACCGACCGGCCGTATTCTTTGCTTTTTCAGTCGGATTGATTAGATCGTTTGGGTTAACATTATTTCTCATCTTTCATGGATTTACCATTCACAGGGGTGAGATATTAGTAATAGTACTAACTATTTAGCCTCACGAGAACCAACAGATGATATAGTTCTTCACGTTGGCACATTATTTCATAGTAACGGGGAGAATTGATTTTGGGAAATCGATAAACACTGGGTTGTCATCTTGTGGTATCTCATCCCAATCTTCGGCTGTATTACTTTCAGTCAGCACTTCACCTGCAGAACGTTACATCGGGTGATCTCGTTCGCGTGTCGAAGGCTGTCCCCCGATGATGCGGGGGATAGTGAGCCAGGCATGCTTACCACATGAACTGTTTATTTAATCTGGGTCAGTAGGCTGGCATCCCAATTATGGGAAGTAAATTAGCGGTTAGACGAACCAGCTTGTCTTTTCGGCTCTCGAGGAAGGATTGTGATTGAGAAACCTTAGAAATATCGACGGATTTGTTTGCTCGACGGGATAATTATCGTACGCACAGTACGATCATCTAGAGATCATTCGCGTCTCATGTTATCGCCGTTTGAGTTTGCAAATGGATTTTCCTCTCCTTAGATGTCTATTTTGGTGTTCAAGTTGGGACTGGAACCGACGTAAATTCGCGAACCACCTCTACTTAATGGGTCAATGGAAGCCTGTAGTTCACTGTCAGTGTGTCATACCGAGAAAATCGTTTTGTCTTCAGTATACTGGACGACGGGTTGGTGTTTGTGCAAGATACGTTGAATAGCTATTTAAATACCATCTCAGTTTACGAATTGGTCCACAATCAAGCACCATTCTGAGGAACGGTAGAGACTGATTTATGGGAAATATTAAGTTGAAAGAAAAAGATTATTTTCATGTTTGACTAATTTTACCGCTCAACAGTATGTGTTCTTTCGATCCGATCTTTTGGGTACATCCAACACTATGCACGTTAATGTCTGCTCTGCTATCTGTAATTCTTGGGTGAAATCATGGGTGTGAAGCCAGTACAATGAATAAAACCTAATGCATACATCGAAAACAGCTCAAGCATGGCCACAAGATGTTCTCAAACAATGAGAAATGGCATGATATTAAGTTGGAAGAAAAAGATTGTTTTCATGTTTGACTAATTTTACCGCTCAACAGTATGTGTTCTTTCGATCCGATCTTTTGGGTACATCCAACACTATGCACGTTAATGTCTGCTCTGCTATCTGTAATTCTTGGGTGAAATCATGGGTGTGAAGCCAGTACAATCGAATCATATGAATAAAACCTAATGCATACATCGAAAACAGCTCAAGCATGGCCACAAGATGTTCTCAAACAATGAGAAATGGCATGGTCAGTTACGACACGGCTTTTGGCATCAGAACATAGTAATAAGATTACTGAAGCATTTCTAATTATCCGTCCGTTTGATTCACGAGAGGCGTTATTTAGCTGAATGAAGTGTTACATGGGTTGTGACCTTCGCAACATTCATTGGAGGTCTTCGTTCGCACTGGGGAAACAACCGATTTACTCCAACAAACCTAATAGTCCTGACAGAACTCTTATCAAAAGGTCGCTGAAAGTCCTTCGACAGCTTGCCACGGGTTTCACACCCCTTGGATCACATCAGGCATATCCGGTCCCCTATTAATCGCTTCAAAACGAATGATTTGACAATGAAATGAAGCTAGGTCATTCGAGTGCAACTAGTGGCGTTTGTTAGTTCTGTCCGCCTGTGCCGTCCCGCACGAATACTATCTCGTCGGTAACACTATTACCCAACGTGCCCCCAAATTAATTCATCTGTCGCGTCTAGTATTTCTAACATTCCAAATTTACTTCTAGTAAGTTCACTTCGAGACATCCTGTTGCAGGTATGAAGCGAAGCGGTTTGCTAACACGGCAAGGCGTTCGCTATGAGATTTTCACACACAGTGCTATCATGCGAATATTGGAGAGTTGACTGAACAAAATCACCGCTTCATTCCATTTCCAACCATGTTACTCTTGTGTGCCTGCTGAGATCTATCGGCATTGTCAAAATATAATTAGACCTGCGTGGTATCCGTGAACAGGACTGGAACAGCGCAGGGTTTTGTGTGGTAGCATCTTCTAAACAACAGCGATAGAACGGTCATTCCACTGGCTTCTGCCTTCGATAGAGCACTCCTTACAATAACTGTCCGGTTTTTCTATTTCGACGCGAAACGACCTTTCAGAACCCATCTTTAGCGCATTTTGAGCAAACAAATGGGTTTTGATTGCGCTTTACATTATCACAAAGCAGATTCAGTCACAACCTTTGTTATCTGCTGTCCTCTAAATTTTATACGAATGCGTTTGGTCTCTTATACTTCCCCTCTTTCGTAGAATAACAGTGCAGGTTGCATCTGGACAAGGTGATTGCAAATGAATTGGATTTAAACTGATCTACACGATTTTTGTCTGTTTGGTAGGCTCCGTATCTTCAAGAACACAGTAGATATTCTTGTTTATTAATCGTAACACACGGTAACCAATCTTTTAAGTGAGTATGCATGGTCGCGCTTTTATGTTGGGGGATGTTTCCACACTACGATGGTCACGAGACTGTTCTTCGGACAGCTTAAAAATTAGTTGGGTGACCAGTGTAATGCATGGAATGGTGGACCTGATGCTGTTCTCGATAACGGAGTTAGCACCCGGAAGATGGTTTCGGGTAATGGTATCTGTAGTGACCACAACACTGACACCTGTAGTACTAAGGTCAACAGTTGGATGACCTGGCTACAGCGACCCCCGATTTGTGCAAGACAAGATGCAGTTTCTGTTGACTTTATAATGCAATTGAGCCATCGTTCGTTTTGAGTTGACCTGATGCTAGCATAGAACATCATCCACTAGCCATCAAGTATGCAACAGTCTGGCAACCGTGTTTTTCAAAGCGTAAACTCTGAAACCAAATGACCTAATGAGTGAAAACATGTCACAACTATTGGCAGCTCAGTGCAACCACATCTGTATTAGTATTTTCTATGAAAACACAGGAGTTGGTTTGGGATCTTGCTTTAATCAGCACCCAAGCGACTGCATAATTTCATGTTTGAGTAGTTTTTCGCAACTGTTCTTTATTTGAGGGTCTAATATTTCCTATTTAGGCTTGCACCCCTCATCTGGCGACAGTAGTTCAGCAAAATAATCAAGGTGGTTGGATAATTGATTTTGGAGCATTTTCAAAAAATAGGCTTATAGACAACCCGAGGGTTTGGCAGATCGAATAGTTGATAATATTTAGAACAGTGACGCTCTTTTGCTACTTAGCTGACATGCCACCAGAAGGAAGCACTAGGGCTGATATACCGTAAGGTTACCCGAGCCTAGACAAGAGCGGTCGAGATACGGAGGTTGGGTTCGGACCATGGACCTTCCAGTTAATAAATCCGCACCTTAACCACTATACTACCTAAGATATAAATATAAATCTATGAATTTATTCACTGATATGGCTCGTTCCCGTTGAAATCAGGAACAAGTTACTGTCATCACACATGATGGATTCCACTGATGCTAAGTAGACAATTTTTCGTTTGTAGGAAAATTGCAGTTGGTGAGTTGGCTGCGCCAAGGAACGCAGATAGTGTTGAATTCTTCGCAATACTCTATTCGTGCCCCTAGCGACACTCATTTTGGGAAGCCTAACCCACTACATACGGTGGAGTGCGTTCAGATGAAACTATTTCAAGTTTTGCTAATGACTTCACGATTTAAAGTAAGGCGGGGAACAAGGAACAGAGGAATTAAAGGATGTGAGCCTCGTCCGAAATCCAACAGCAAATTTTTGTACATATCTACCGTGGGTACTCTCAAAAGTGCGGTCCAGAACTTACCCACATACGTGTATGTTTCAAACTTCACCTATGGAAAAACGATCTACAAAACCAATCAAAGTCACCCGCCTCGAATGGCCCATAGGATGCTTTCAACCCTCAGATGCGATAGCCAGTAAGCTTACCATCAAGTCATCACCTCCGCCAGTTCAACGCACCTTTATCAACGAATCCCGAATTCGTAAAAAATGCCCATATAAGACATCACCGCATGGAATCCTGGATTACATCTCAACGCCACAGAGACTGGATTTCCGAAATGTCACATCCACCTCTCTTAGCAAGCTGGCCGGG